AACTTTTATGCACTGTAACCATCGATGAGTTAGTTCTGGTATTGTTTTGATTTTTCACTAAATATACACTATAAACTTCTGTTTACGTACGCTGTCACTGGCATTTATAAATTTCGTTAATTTTGCAAAATTCTTGTGTTATTAATCGCTGCTAACACTGTCACATGTAGTCTACACTTTTAACTTTTGTTTTTAGTCGTTTTTTTTTTATGGATTAATAGGAGAAAATATTTTTAATATATTTTAACATAGGACAGTATTGTTTACGTGAGAGCAGCGCCCTCTCTTAATTTAACGTTAAAAATTTGTTACCATATATTATAATGTATCCCATATATATGTATCTACTCTGACGCTGTATCTACGTGTATTTCAATTACTTTAAACATCATGTCGTAATATTGACGGTAACTTCTCACTCGTCGGTGTTCAGTTGTTGCTCAATGTAGTAGGATTAAGTTATTTAAATGCATATGAGAGATATCGGGAATATAAATATTATTAGGTACATTTATCTAAGATTCTGATGTACTTAAATAGTGTATACATTTAGATACAGGGATTTGTACTAACCATCGTTAATATAGATAGATTCTTATACTCTGTTTATTAATTATTTTAAATATGAAAATTTGTTTGATTGTTACTCAATTATGTTTAAACAGTGGAACGGATTTGAACGAAATTTGGTACAGATGTAGGTCCTATATCATATGTATATCCCATATTCTAACACATAAGATACTAATATATAGCTTTTTTCCCTATTTCATGCGTGTGAATTTCAGAGGCAGGAAAACTAACGTAATACGCTACTTTTAAATGACGTAGGTATTAAGATAAAACATTCATCACGTATTAAGTTAGACCATCAAGAACCACAAATATGATATTGAACTTGGTACAGTAATTGCTGCGTGATACTGTAACAAACAGACAGACAGACAAACAAACAAATAAATTTTAATAAATATTGTTTCGGCGTCTATTAAACATATTAAGATCGTTAGTAAAATTAAAGAGGGCATATAATTTATAACTAAAGAATAATATTGGTCCCAGATAATGTAATACTGTTTTGGTGAAGGGATCGTAAATTTTCTGTAGAGGAAATAGCGTTTACTCATAGTTCCTTATAATTTGTATGCTACATACATCCACATGTGGAAGCCCTACGTATGAAATAACGATCGTCACGGCGCGGCGGGCAATTCGAATAAATGTTATGATAATAAACAACTTGACAACAAATCGACGGCGAGAATGGCGGGTGCTCAGCCGCTGCACCACTCGACTCTCCCTCAAATAAAGACTGCTTTTGAACTGTGTCTCGACGGATTTCCACATCGAAATCTTATCTTAGAATATCTAAAATTGAACGTTGAAGCTTCATATAAAGATGACTTGGACAATTATGAGCAAATATATTGAAAATAAATGCTCCATCATGTTAAGGTAGGTAAATATTCTGTCATTTTGTTTATCTTGTTGCCAAGAGTCGCTTACAAATATGTAGGTAACTAATTATTAAGTAACTAGCTTTTACCGTTGGCTGTGTGGTCCCGGCATAGAATAGGCCACCCTTTCCTTTCCCGTGGGTATTGTAAAAGCCGACTAAGAGAGGGCGAGGGATGGGCAGCAGCCTCCCTCTTAAAACATCTCAAAAGCCTGACTGCGGTTACTAATCCGCTTGCCAAGCGTGGCAACTACTGGCAGAACCCCCCAAGGGGGAGGCTTATGTTTAGCAGTAAACAGTTAAAAGCTGATATGATGATGATTACAGCTTTTACCAGTTACCTTCTAGTACTGTCTTAAAAGGTTTAATTCAATTGTGAGGTCTAATACTAGACTCGCACATAGAATACACTTGTAATTCAGCACGATGGTTTCCAGGGAAGATCACGTGGAGGTTGACCTGACAGGATATATTGCTAGCAATGGGTTAGAGCTGGTATTTAACAGAAATTAATATATTGGTATATATACAACATTTTTGTTCTCGACAGTGGTAAGTAGATCATAGGCTCATTGCTCATAGATCCAGAAATAGTGTTTTTAAACTGCATGACTATATCGCGCCGTGTCCGCTGAGTGACATGATGTTAACGCACCCATCAATTTCGACGCCATCTTTGATTAGATTTATTACTCTTCTAAAGCTTTTCGGTTGCTTTCTGGTAGGGTTGCCATTACAAATTAATAATGTATGTATACTAGTTACAACTATGGTGTCGTTTGTTGTTTTTTTTAGGAGATTTAGCAATGATACCGTAACAATTTAATCATGTTTGCCTGACTGGCTTTCTGGATATATGTAATATCACAGTATCATAATTTTTACTTTGTAGGTTATTTTATCTTGTTTAATGAAGTTTTAATTAAATTTGTGATCTGTTCTGTTCATTGTTTTTTGGCCTTTTGGCCACTAGAAAAAAAAAGAACGCAAGAGAGTGTAGAAGGAGTAATAAAAAATTTTAATTACATGTTATTTTTTTAGAGTAAGTTAAATGAAGTCTTAATATAAATAAATAGCGAATTATAAATTTATCAATTGAAAATTTGTAGTATTTTTTGTTACTCGAGTCGTATACTATCTAATAGGAATTTAAATACTTTTCAATAATTGTTAAATTTACGGGCATTAACTTGATATTTATTACGAACGTAGACACGGTTCAACCCTGAGTCCACGCACTCGTACGTTATATATGCACTTAATGAAATGCTCTCGCTTCATATGGTTCCATGCTGTGTCTTAAAAGTGGTTCAATTCTAATATTCATCCATAATATAAGACGCACATGAAATTGTAAGTCATTGGAAATTCAAATAATGGGCATACATAAAGATAAGAAAAATCCTTACTAATATTAAAAATGTGGCATTGAGTTTGTTTATCATATAACTAATCTATATGAAATTTGGTATACACGTACTATATAGAATGGTGACAGATATAGACTAATTTTAATACCGTCCAGCGAAGCTACAGATAAAATATGAAAGCTAGTAAACAATAATTAAATATGTTAAAGACTAAAATGGAAAGGAATGGACTAGCGTGGAAATGCAGCAAGTATCCTAGGCATCCTACCAGCTGGCAGTGATCTCAAAGAAATATATATATATATATATATATATATATATATATATATATATATATATATATATATATATATATATATATATATTACTTATCTCTAATTATATATCTAAATTAACTATCTCTTCTATTTAGATATTTATAATTTATGGTAATTATGCAATTAGTTCTTAAAATAGAATTAAATTATTAAATGTTTAGACTAAAATTGTTAATGAAACATACTATATTAGTGGTTCAATAAGATTTCATAGAAACGTGAACAAATGCATTGACTTGACCAAAAAGCTATAAAAAATAAATTAATTGATCAGTTTTACCCATTAGTCTTTCTTCTTTTGAATGAATTCAATTAAAATTATTTCTAATGTCACATGAATTAATTTGTTCTATAATCATCAAGGAGTTTGTGGGAAAAAGTTAAAGTATTTATAGTTCTTATTTTCAGTTTTATTCATTATATCAGTAAAACTATCTTTATTAAAAGAAATCTGGATTGAAAGTAAAAAGGAAAGTGGGATTGCCAGTTCAAAGTCGAAAATTTCTATTGTTAAGATGATTTAAAAATTATTGACTGTTATTTGCATAGTGCTTCGAGACATGAAGTTACGTTATACCTCAATAGTGTCGTAATTAAAAAATTTTAATATCTATTGACGAGCGTATTCTGCATAAAAAACTTAATTAGGAAAATAATGTTATTTTCATATTAGACTAAATTACAATGTTTTTGGGCATAGGCGATAGTTTTTAATCGTATAACAATAAAATATTGGGCAACACTAGCTCATTGTCAAATAAAAAAAAAAACAATATTATGACATTTTATTTATGGTAGTTGTCAATAAAGGAATCATATAACCAATAACAATGTAAAATAAGAAATCCCCGCTAAAATAAATAAATTTATTGGTGTTGCCATAATAATATTTTACGAGTATAAAGCGCGAACAACCAATGTCAAGGATGAAGCCAACGTACCCGCGTGTTTAATTTAGACTGTTACGAACTGAATTATACCGTAGTATATATCTATTGCATAAAAATTGTTTTATTTTTACGATTCAATTGTTTATATATCGATTGTATTTTTTTATGTAAAATTAAATCCTTGAGTTATAAACCGATTTGGAAAATTCTTATTTTATGGGGAAAGATAACTTAAAGATCTATCCCATAGAAATTTTATCAAAATTGTTTTAACAGTTTTGTGTTTATATTAAAATAACTGGGTTGTCACAACTGATGTCGTTTTATTTTTTGTGGGATTTTTGTAATCTATAATTGTTTTTTGATTCAACACGTTTTTTGTCTGATTCTTCGTACGCGTGGATTTGAGAAATAGGAATTATTAAGACAGATATTCAGGAATGCAATTGTGAAAATTGCATTCAATTTCGTGCAGCAGTTTTTGTGTGATGAATTAACAAATGTTTAAAAAAATATTGATTTACTATACCCATTACTTACAATTCCTTTTCCTCCACAGTATTGGGGATAGCACTGGGTTTTACGTGTTATACTGGGTTGACGGATGATGTCAACGTATAGCTAAGGAGACTCCATAAGAGGAGAATACTACTATCATGCTGATGAGACGGCTTGGTATATGTTAATATGGAAGGAAAAGTTTTCGTCGTTTTTGGGTTTATGTTTCTTTGGAGAAAATCATCCGATTCACTAGTAGATAGCTAACGATTTCCACTTTATCTTTCATAAAATATATTTATTGTATAAATAATTAATACATTTATTATTTATTAAATTTAAGTATTTAATTATTTACAGATAAAGTTTTTATTAGTTGTCTAGTATCCATAATAAGAGGTTTGCTTGATTTGAGGATAGATGGCGCTGCGTAACATGTTTAATGAAATACATATACGTATATACTTACATTATGTGTGTAGTGATGTCTGCATACAGTCCATGTGATGCAATTACTTAATATGAACGCTGCGAGAAGCAGCGATCTGAAACAAACAAATTATATTAAATTAATACAAATATTAATGCTATCAGTTTATTTAACCCAGTTCATATATTTTTTATCTTTATAAACATAATAATTATCGGAGTGAATGCGGAAATGATAGCGAATAAGACGAATGGAATTGTCGTGTGATCCCAGCATAGAATAGACCACCCCTTCCTTTCCTGTGGATGTCGTAAGAGGTGGCTACGGGAGGGCGAGGAATGGGCAGCAGCGTCCCTTTTAAAACTTCACCAAAGTCTAACTGTTAGTTGCCAATCCACCTGACAAGCGGGCCAACTACTGGCAAAAGCCCCCAAGGAAGAGGCTTATGTTCAGCAATGGAGGGTTAAAGACTGTAATGATGAAGATGAATGGAAGAGGAAAACATATTACTCCGACCCTAAATAAGAGGAGGGAGACTTTGTACAAAAGTCAATTGCTTGGTACCTCTGTCTCATTCGCGTTTCAACCGTGAAACAGTTGTGTTTGCATGGCTGTGTTTCGGTTTGAAGGGTGGGATATGGCGTGAATTTACTGGGTACAGAGGAATAATACCTGAGTCCTCAGGAATGGCAACGCGTGGGGGGTATCATGGGCGAAATAGTATACTCTGTTATGTCCATGGTACTGCTCTTTTCTATAGGCAACGGTTAAGTTGTATAAAACAAAACATAAATAATTGTGATGAGGGTAGGAGGATAATGATGATCCTTCACAATTTTATTCTCAAGCATGATAAACACGTATCAACCCTTCAGCAGGGGTGAAGGGATTGTTAATAATAGGGATCTAACAGCTCCATTGCCAGCAATATACTCTATCAGGTCGCGTTTTCCTTTGGAATCTATCGTAGTGAATGTTTGTGGAATTATTTACGATGGGCTAATTGATCTATTTTCATCCTCACCTTTCATCCTTCACTGGTGTCTCGCCAGCGTATACCGATAGCGCAGGATATTGCTATACCATTATCACCCATTAAAAACTCTTCATCAAGGTTAAAATTCGAAATCCGAAAATAATGTAGAGTTGAATAATTTAAATATAAGTAAGTTTTTCTTTATTTTTTATAAGACGTGGGATAAACGAGCATGCGGCTCGGCTCACTTGATTGTAAATGACTACCGCCGCCCATGAGCACTCACAACACCAGAGGTATTGCAGGGTGCTGCCTGCCTATTAGGATTAGGAAAGAGATGGGTATAGGATGGATATCAGGGCCCCCTCACTCACCATACGTTATATATTTTATACATTTAGATTAAATAAAAAAAAAAACCTATATTGCTAGAACAGAATTAATTCTACTAAATGTGTATCTCTATCTATCTATATCTACTGAACTCCCAATATATTATAACACTTTAAAACCCAATTACTATTCATAATGGTATGTAAATAAGAATATAATCGAATCTTGTATCTCGCGGTGTCAGTTATTGAAGCGATGATAAAATTATTGATAAAGGATTCCCTCGATCCTAACTGTACGCAACTCCTGGCTCGAGTAAGATAATATCTCTATTAGGTGTGTACAAGTCATGAACGACAAGCGGCCGCTTGACAACCTGCTTGTAGAATTATCTGATCAACTTTTAAACAACGTATTTAACGGGATTTGAAATTCACTCATAATAAAATTGTACGGAAGATTGAAATATAATCTGAAACAGGTGGTTAAAAGTGGTTGTTTTACTTATTTATTTAATAATATTTATTGATTATTAACGACCCGGCCAGGCTTCGAACGAGTAGATAGGATTTTTGAAAATAATACATATACCAGAGGGAGTCTTTGTACAGAAGTCGATTGTTTGGGTACCTCTGTCCCATTCCTGTTTCAACCGTGAAGCAGTTGTGTTTGCATGGCTGTGTTTCGATTTGAAGGGTGGGATATGGCGTGAATTTACTGGGTACAGAGGAATAACACCTGAGTCCTCAGGAATGGCAACGCATGGGGGGTACGTTCATGTACGGGTATGTCCATGGTACTGCTCATGTCTATAGGCGACGGTTACCACTTTACATCAGGTGGGCCGTCAGCTTGTTTGCCATTTTAAGTTGTATATATATATATATATATATATATATAGCCTATGTTACTCGCTCATAAAATATTGCACCAATGTTACATGTCTTGTTGAAGGATTTTCAAGATAAAACCCCTCACTGGATAGAGTGACGACCAAAAACACATAACAGGGAGTCAGTGGATGCAGTTGGCTCAAGGCTGTTCTTTATAGCTACAGGGCTTTATGCTTAATGAACTCATGGGCCGCTCTAGACTCATTTTATTTATGAAATAATACGTCAAGACATTTTATATTATAAGCATAAGTATATAAAACATTGATAAAAAAACGAGTCGGCTAATTTAACAATTAGCTGACAAAAAATTGAGCCGCTTTTGAGACTCGATGCTTTATCTATATAATCTAAGTTCAATATGTACAAAATACTTCGCTTCTCTTATACAGCTTGTGCCCCTCCGTGTTCATACAAATGCAACGGCAGTCCCACGGGACATCGTACCGTTTACACAATGGTACGGCTCCGAGCGGAGGTGAAGTTAATTACAGAGCGTGAGTCGATACAATGAGAGCCACTGGTCTGTATTAAGCTTCACCATTTGTAATGCTCATGGGTTTTTGTACCTGATGATGGGAGGCCATAGACGGTACAATGATAATTTATTACAAATTTGAAGATGATGGTGTAGTTTAACACACACCAATGGTTGCAGGTTCGGTGCCTGCACGATACATATTTTGTACTAGCCGTTGCCCGCGGTGTTGTCCGCTTCTAACTATGTAGTTCCCGTATATCGTTCCCGTTTGGAACTCTTCATGAATCGGGTCATACTACCTTCATAAAGTTTCAGCCAATTCAACTGATCGGTTATTTTATAGCATTTTATATGTGAATTTGTTATTCTTTAGAATGATATAACTTTTTTATTTATAAACTGATTGAAATAAACTGAACACAAATGCATTAGTGAAAACCGCATTCAAATCGGTTAAGCCGTTTCTGAGATTAGCGTGCACAAATGTACAGACAATTGGACAAAAATTCAAAATCATTGTTTTGGGTTCTATTGCGTTCATAAAGTTTACAAACACAACGATACAATTGTATAAGTACAGTAAGGTGGCCTTATTGTTGAGAGCAATCTTTTCAAGCCAACCCTAAGGTAATGGACTAATTGTTGTTCAAGTAGGTATGATTATTAATCAATGTTCAGGGCATAAAATAGGTAAGATAATGGCAAATGAATCACACAGTCAATCATCGTGCAGTAAATAAATTTGTATGTATATTTCGTATTTATCAGTGCATTCATATGAATAAGTGAGTCACGTATCATGTACCAATACCTATTATCAAATCTCGTTTTGAGTTGGAGGTCAATCCCACTAGTGGACTTCCGTTCGTCGTCTATGGACCTAGGTCTTAGTCAGACGTCCAAGGCTGGCTAATGTAACCCGAATATTTAAATAATATGCACTTCCGATGTGATGCGAATTTATAATAATTATTCATAATCATTCATAACAAATTATTAATGATACATCATTACCACTCCATTAATTTTAATTATCGAACGTGAACAAGCCGCACGTGTGAGTAGGTATCTGTTTTATTTTATTAATTAAAAAAACATACACAGCTACTGGAAGTAATGTAAACAATATGAGTGCATTAGCCAATAATTTTGTTGGTGATTGTATAAACATATATACCTAACTTAGATGTTTATTACAAGTATACATTTAGAGATGCATTAGATAGCGATTAATTAGAGAAATTTATATATTACTGGTTGTAATCCGTAGATATTTCAGTTTTATTAGGTACATTTTGAAGAATAAGGTGATTTTAGATTGACAAAATCCGATGACTCAAGATTTGGAACTAATTTTGTGTAAATATATATATATATATATATATATATATATATATATATATATATATATATATATATATATATATATATATATATATATATATATATATATATATATATATATATTCTTACCTGTCCGCTGTTGAACATAGCCTCACCCATAAAGGGGTATTGCCAGTAGTTGCCACATTTGACAGGCGGCTTGGCCACCACAGTTTAGGAACGCTACTGCCCACCCTCTACCATAAGCTCCCTTAGTAGCCTCTTACGACATCCACAGGAAAAGAAGGTATGTCTTACTATGCCAGGACCTACACGGCAATTTTATGTATATAATATACCTTTTTTATTTACTTATGTCTTAATAAGTATGAATGAAATATAATCGATCTAAAACATGGAGGAAAATGTTAATGGTAATTTCTCAGTAAAATATTAGTTGCTAAGCGAAATGTGAAAAACAAATGATCCTTGTAAACATTTGTCAAGGTGAAGAAACAGCGAGAATGTACCATAAAGCTCAAAGGGAGCCGTAAAGTTGTAAATAACACACGCGGAGAATCGTTCCGCACTGAGATCATTGACACTGCGAATTACAACAAATTTCATATATTTAGTGTTCCGTATTCGATTTTCAAAAGCGCAATATGTAGTAAATTAATTGATTGTTTCTACACTTAACAGTAAATATTAACAATTTCACGTATCTAGTTCATAGCTTAGGAATAGTACCTGCGACCTAGTTTCTTTTGTTTTTATTAGAGGTGTATTTACTAAGGTATCATGTCCTTGCTTACCTTACTCGTAAACGTCTAAAATTTCAATGATTATACTTGTCACTTTAATCAAAAAATTCATTATAATAAAAGCCATGTTTGGAGAATTATATAGGTTTTTGATAGTTCTATTATTTTGTAAATCTTTTTGGATAAAAATACCAACCAACATGAACTGATTTTACCATTATATCCAGAAATTATTTGATGCTGAGTCTTAATAACATAATAACACATAAAAACTAGAAATGAGAAGATTATTCAAGTCTATATTTGAAATTTAAAAATTATAATTGCTCTCAGCAATAAGACCGC